GCAAACCCTGGCCAGCGGGGAACCACGGGTGCACTCAGCCGCCCCCATCCCTCCTTGCTTCCCCTGCCCCATTCTCCAATAAAAGTTCTTAAGCATTTATACCGAAAGACTTGGTATTTAACAAGTAGTTACTTGGCGAGTGGAGAAAGGTTCTGGTCCCTAGAAGTAGCTTAGATCCACGTCTGGGAACTAACGCCGGTTAGGTGAGAAGCCAGGTAGCTCACACTGTTCCCGGCTGGGGGCGACCATGCGCCCCATCGCGCCCCAGGGCCGATCGGCTGGCGGCCAGTTCCCGGGCCAGTGGCCCGCAGCGCCTCTCTTTGGGCTAACGCAGGTCCCAGAGGACATTTGGGACCTGGCAGCGCGCAAGTAAGCCTCAGTATCTTGGCATCTGTAAGGAATGTGCTCCTGGCCTTATCTTTGTGGGCTGTGCCCTGGAGAGATGGCGCTTGGCCGGCTCCAGTGGCCCCATGGCGGCATTGGGGTGCTGGGCAGGAGGAGAGGTGGTGCTGGTGCTGGTGCCCAGGTACCCGCCGCTGGGGCACTGCGTGCGTGGACCTGTTGCGTGGTTGGAACTGCCATTCGTCTGCAGTGGCTCCCTCTGCGAGTCAGCCTTGCTGCTGCTGCCTCTCTCTCTCCCTGAGCCACCACACAGCTTGCTTGGATCTGTCCTATCACTCTCTGATGCCGTACCTATTCAGAGTTGCTTACGAAAATTAATCATCTCCTGGGCCGAACTTGTCCAGTGACAGATGCCGATTGTGCTTCTAGGAAGGTCGGGGCCGGGGTAGTCGCAGAACTTTTAACCCTTGAATTTGCCTCAGGACTTTAGCTTTAACTGTTAAAGGGGAAGGCATCCCAGACCCAGGTGTATGTAGGAAGTAAGCCTGTGGCAATCCAAAGGTTCAGGAAATGGAAGACTGCTAGGGGCGGGGAGAGAGCCTAAAGGCCGAGCCGCGGAATGAAAAATACCTTGTTGGTCCTTTGGTAACGCTAATGCCCTGTCATTTTCAAAGACGCTCTGGTCAGATGTCCCGGTTTGTTAGAACACGGGCTGATAACGATCTCCAGCGCTGAGGAGAGTTTAGAAAAACAGAACTGTGTTTTTCTTAAGTGATGTTCCTCTTGAATTAACTTTCTTTGGTTCCCATGGCCGCCTCTGTGTAATCACAAAGATTACCCACACTAGGATCAGAGCACCCCCCACCCCCCGAATTTAATTCAGTAGGAAAACCATCCAGTTCCCTCAGGCATGTATTATTTTGCAGGCATTTTCAAACACATGATCTAGTTTTTCGCTTCGCTGTTTAACTTAAATGGTAAGCTCACTGCTTTAAGTTGTATAATTTTCAGAACGTAGAGCAAATGTTACTTAATGCTTTTCAAGGGATTTGAAATGCAGTTATTAAAAGACTTAGTAAAAAGCTCTTGACTATAAACTTTGCAGTGCACTCTGTAGTGTTTGTGTTTTATGGAATTGGAAGCTTTCTTTGGATTGTCTTTTCATTCCCTTCTGCAGTTTGTGAGATTTCCTGTCATGCTGCAGAATTTTGCTTAGTATTGGAGACTGAGAGTTTTAGACACATTAGGTATTGGTCAATGACAACTCAGAAGCTCAAAATACAGTCTGATGGCATTCTGTAAATACAATAAACAAACATTTCAAAACTGAAAGATGGCCTTCCTTACTGGTTAAGTATTGCTCTCACAGCCTCAAATTGAGGTCCTGTAAAAAGGATTTCTTTCTGTCTCATTTCACCCTGACCATTGGGTTTGTACATGCCAGCGGGACCAACTAACCTTGAAAGCCTGTTTGTTTCATTCAGCGTTTCCTTGGCTAGCTGTTGTTCGTGTTTGAGATCTGTATATCTCATTACTATTGCTCTCAGTGCCCCTGGCCTCTAACTCCAAGCTCCTGTCTCCTCACCACTGTGTCACTACTCTTGATGGAGAGCTCTAAAGGTCCTTAGTGTGGTGGCCATACCAGCTGTATGTTTTATTGCCTGTAATTTGGGAGCACAGCCAAAGGGAGGCCTGCACCCTCTACCTGGGCAACAGGCTTTGGGATAATGATAGACACCTACTCTGCAACCTCTCATTTGCTCCCACATTTTCATTTACAAATTGAGACAGGGAATTGCAGTGTTTTTTCTCAGGCCTCTGCTCCTTATTAGATGCTGTCTCTGGCTTCCCCCATTTACCGAAGTGTCAGACAACTACAATCACACTGAACACGGAGGATGAGTCTGGCCCCATTCTGTTTCTCAGATCCATCAAGCCTTTAGCTGTTTATTGAGTCCCTCCTTCTTGAGTCATGTGATTTAAACTTGGCCTTGTTAAATATTTATTGACGTACCATTACTTACTGGCTATTAGTGGTACAGAGATTAAAGAAGCCGTGATTCTTACAAGCTGATCGAAGCCCCATGATGATTTAAAGATAGATGTTATGACTGTGGGGTGGAGAGGGTGGCTCACTTCATCAGCCTACTCACCAGCTGCAGACGTGTGTTGGTCACTTACCTCATCTTCCTCAGAAACACTTCAGCTTTGTGGTGACTTCCCAACAGTTCAGGTCGAGGGGCAGGAACCTCATCTTGAGCTTGGCTTTGATTGGACAACAGTAGTTGCATCTGTCTGCTGCTTCCGCCTTCACCTGTCTCTGTAGCTGGATTCTTTGGGTGTCTATACTAAGACAGTTTCACTTTTGCCTCCTTGAAGTGCTTTGCATGCTTATGTTCTCTCCAGTAAGCACAGGACCTTACCCTTGCACCCAGTAGGTCTTGCTCAATAAACAGTTACTTTTCTAGAATTTCTGTTTTCTCCTCTTTGCCTTCAGCTAGTCTTTTGTTGGTTGCCCGATGAAAGTGTTTCTAACACCCATCCTCCTCTTGTCATTCTTTCTCATATCCTAACTTCACTTGTTTTCTAGTTCTAGATCACTTAACATCAACCAAGCTGAAACCTTACATGCCTGCTGTGTTCCCAACTAAATCATTACCTCCATGAGGGCAGGAGTGTTCATGGCTGACCGTAGGCCACTATGTGGTCCTCAAGTGCTTGTTGCATAAACGACTCCTCATAATTCCCCTTCCTGTTGAAACTAGTTAGTCAGCCCTTTCAGAATCAGTTGTCTTTCCTTGGAAGGTTTTGTTCTCCGTTTCTCTTGTACCATCTTTGAAATAATTCTTAGGCAGTATGAACATTTGCCATCATTATGAGTTCAATTTTAGCACCTGTAGCTTGCTTCCGCAAGGGGCTGTCATTCACATTTAGAACAAGTTAGCCATGTTTCAGTTAGGTCTTCTCTTGGGAAGTGGTCTTTCTCCTTGCAGTCCCATTTCTGAGGGATGGGGCAGCCATTTGTTCTGTCTCCAAGGTTCATATATTTAACTCAGATTGGTTTTTCCCCCCTCTATCTTTCACCATGACCTGGTGTGTGTGTGTGTGTGTGTGTTCTGAAAATGTCATCTTTATTCTCAGTTTCTCATATCCACCGCCTGGTTTCATCTGGATTCCTATTGCTTTTTGGTTATCTTTTACCAAGGCCCTTTGGGTCTTGTCATGAAGGACAGTGGGGCCCACATGTTGGATTTAGATAGTTGAAGACAGGGTTCTGTGTCTTGGATACTCTCTTCCAGCCTGAGTTTCTGCATGCATTAGAGCACTGCTTATTTCAAAGGGTTAGTCTGAGGATTTGGAAGATCAATACAAATAAATGTAAGATTTTTCTGAATACTCTGGCAAGAACTTAATATTAACAGTGTTTCTTAACTGAAGTTTAAAGAGCCCCCCCCCCCTCCACTCCTGGAGTTTGTTAAACCCAAATTAAAGTTCTGATATTATTTTCAGCAATTAAAAAAATCACACATCCTGTAATGTTGAGATGACTTTATAGATGAGTAATTATTGCCTAGCCTTTTGAGCACCCCTTTTATTGTTTATAGCTAATGGGGGACGAGTCGATGTGGCTGTATGAGAGGCAGGTAATGACTGCAATTGGGGGAGCAGAGAGCATGCAGTACTTCATTAGAGAGAAATGATGAGGAGCTGAAAGGGTAGCAGCCCCTGTGGTGCAGTTATTCAGAATTAAAACCCAAGCACTTGCACCTGGTTAATACTGTTTAATACATCGTGAGCAGCCGTGTAGCATCCACAAAATTACGCAATTGCTCTGTGATGTAGTTACTGTTGAAGTCTCCTTTCTTGTCTTTATTGTTTTTTTTTTTAAGAGTTATTTCACTTTATAGTTGTATAAGAGCTAAGGCTTGGGGGTGACACACCTATATACTTAAACTCAATTATTCAATAAAAAGAGCAATTACACATTTAAGGACTGAATGCTTACAGCAAAGAGGACTGAAAGTGAGGTTTTCCCTGCTGATCCACACATTTATCAAGTTAGAGAAACAGTCCATTTCTCAGATGCCCTGTTGTTACTATACAGTGTAGCACTTAATTGCTTTCTCATTGTTTTCTGTGTTGGTTCACACCTTTCCCATAGATTTCCTCATTCCCCACCCTTAGAGAGGAGAAAAGCAAGCTAGAGAAGTTGTAATTTTCCCAGGTTAGATAGTGTCTGCGACATAATTACTATAGCCAACCCTTACTAAGGTCCAAACTTTGTAATAGGTTCTTTACACAAATCATTTTTTCTTGCACTGTATTACAAACAATTTTAATTTCAGTTTTTCAAAGGCAGAAAAAGACATAAGAAACTTAAGAGGCATGGGAACATTGGGGGACCCCCCCCCCCCCCGCCTTTACCACGTGTGACCTAGTTGGGACAGGGGAGGGGGCACGGCTGGCAGTGGGGATGACCAGAAGCCTCTTGATGATAGGAGGCTCTTAATGCTTTGAGGAGTTTCATACTTTGGGGGAAATGAGAGAGGCCTTAGAGGAGGTGATTCAGACTAG